GTTCTTGATTTAATTTTGGTAAGTGATAGTTATCCAGAAATTTGTCCATTTCCTTTTAATTTTCAAAGTATGACCTGAAAATTGTCTGGACTTCCTCTGTGTTCATTGTTATGTTCCACTTTTCGTTTCTGATTTTGTTAATTTGCAAGTTCTCTCTCTGCCTTTTTGTTAGTTTGGATAAAGGTTTGTCTATCTTGTTGATTTTCTTGAAAAACCAACTTTTTGTTGCATTGATTTTTTTTTTTTAATTTTGTATTGTTTTCTTGGTTTCTATTTTATTGATTTCATTCAGCCCTCAAATTGCTTATCTCCTGGTGTCTAGTCCTCAGGGTGAGTTTGCTTCTTTTTGTTCTAAAGCTGTTATTCAGTTGTGCTGTTAATTCTCTAATGTGACCATCCTGTTTTCTTCATATGGGCACTTAGTGCAATGAACTTCCCTTGTAACACTGCTTTCAAGGTGTCCCATAAGTTCGGGTATGTTGTGTCCTCATTCTCATTGAATATTAGAAAGTCCTTAATTTCTTTCTTTATTTCTTCTTTGATCCAGGTTTGGTGCAATTGTACATTGTTCAGTTTCCATGAGTTTCCAGGTTTTCTGCTATTTGTGTTGTTGTTGAATTCCAATTTTAAAGCATGGTGGTCTGATAAGATACAGGGGACTATTCCTATTCTCTTGTATCAGTTGAGGTTTGTTATGTCACCTAGTATGTGGACGATATTAGAGAATGTTCCATGTGGAGCCGAGAAGAACATATATTCTTTTGTGTTTGGATGGAATGTTCTATAGATGTCTGTTAAACCCAATTGAGACATAATTTCTGTGAGTTCTTTTGTTTCTTTGTTAAGTTTCTGACTGGTGGTCCTGTCTAGTGGTGAGAGTGGTGTGTTGAAGTCTCCCACTATGAGTGTGTGAGGGTTTATGTGAGCTTTGAGTTTTAGTAGTGTTTCTTTTACAAGTGTGGGTGCCTTTGTATTTGGGGCATAGATGTTCAGAACTGAGACTTTGTGCTGATGGATTTCTCCTGCAATGAATACGAAATTACTATTTCCAGCATTCCTTGGGTTTGTGTTGCCTTTGTTTTCTCTATTTCAGTTTTCAAGTCTTGAACCATTTCCTTCTCCTGCTTAATTGTTTTTTCTTGGCTTTCTGTACTTTCTTTGCTTTCCTTAAGGAATTTGTTCATTTCTTCCACTTTGTTTGTTTTTTCCTCCATTTCTTAAGGGATTTTCTCACATCTTCTTTGAGGGCCTCTATCATTTTTATGACGGTAATTTTTAAGTCGTTCCCTTCTGCTTCCTCTGCTTTGTTGTGTTCCATTCTAGTTGGTGTAGATTCCCTAGATTCTGGTGTCATGCTTGTCTTTCTGTTGTTAGGTGTTTTCTTGTATTGCCGACTTCCCATAGCTTCTTCCAGTAGGTGTTGGTGGGGTCTCCCCCCCTCTCTATGGTACTTCCCCAGTGGGCTTATGTGGGTCAGAGGTTCAGTATCTGTAGCTCTGGGTGGTCTAAGCTCTATAGGAGGTCTCTCCACAGACAGGGACACAGGGATGGGGTCAGGGCTGGATCCAGTAGAACATGCCACTAATCAATGGCTCTAGCCAATGGCTGGCGGAAGAGGACAAAGGCTGAGCTGAAACTTGGGAAGTTTCTGCAGGATAGTCTGATCTCACTGGAAAGTGGCACTCTCCAGCTGAGGCCTCTTTCTTTAGCAGAGGCCCTGCTTTCAGGGTCAAGGATCTTGCCGGTGGGAACTCCCAGTTTTCAAGTCTTGAACCGTTTCCTTCACCTGCTTAATTGTTTTTTTCTTGGCTTTCCATACTTTTTAAGAGAAATTTGTTCATTTCTTCCAATTTTTTGTTTGTTTTTTCTTCTACTTCTTTAAGGGATTTTCTCACATCATCTTTGTCATTTTTATGACAATAATTTTTAAGTCGTTCTGTTCTGATTCATCTGCTTTGGGGTGTTCAGGTCTAGTTGGTGTGGCGTCCCTAGATTCTGGTGGTGTTGTGCTTGTCTTTCTATTGTTAGGTGTTTTCTTGTATTGCCATCTTCCTATCACTTCTTCCAGTAGGTGTAGGTGGGGTCTCCTCCCTCCCTCCCTCCCTCTCTCTCTCTCTCTCTCTCCCTCCCTCCCTCCCTCTCCTTCCCCCCCCCCCCGTACTCCCCAGTTGGGTTTAGGTGGGTCAGAGGTTCGATGTCTGTAGCTCTGGGTGATCCAAGCTGTCTAGGAGGTCTCTCCTTATGCAGGGGCCCGGTCATGGGGGTCAAAGATCAGGCTTCGGCAGAAGACCGGCTATGGGGGTCAAAGATCCCGAAGGCTTATGACTCAGGATGTTCCGTGTGCCGATAGGTGGATTTAGCCTGGGCCAGGCACTCTCCAGCTGAGGCCTCTTTAGTAGAGGCTGGGTGATGGAGGTCAAGATTCCAGCCCACGGTGGCTCAGGAGGGGCCCAGAACTCCTGTAGAGGACTGGTGGTGGGGGTCAGAAACCAGGCAGGTGGGGATTCTGGGTGATAACCAAGTGAATAGGCAGGTCTAGTGTGCTCAGAACAGTTCTAGGAAGTTCCTGAAGGAGGCAGGATTGTTGGCTCCACCCTCTGTCCCAGTGCTCAACCAGAGTGGTGGGACAGTGGGCAGGGTAGGGCACAGGGTAGGGGGAGGGCAGGCTCTTGATGGGGGTGGGTGGGTGTGTATCAGAGCACTAGGAGCACTCTGGATGGGGACAGGGGGAGCCAGATCTGGGGCCAATCCAGGGAGTTCTCAGGGAATGGTGTGTGTGTGTGTGTGAGAGAGAGAGAGAGAGAGAGAGAGAGAGAGAGAGAGAGAGGGAGGGAGGGAGGGAGGGAGGGAGGGAGGGAGAGAGAGATAGATTCCACCCAAATTGGTCCCAGACTCACCTTTAGCAGAGGCCTGGTGATGGGGGGGGGGGTCAAAGACAATGGGGTTCAAAGACTAGGCTGAGACTCAGTATGTTTCCCCACCGATAGGCGGATCTAGCTGAGGCCTCTTTAGCAGAGGCCCGGTGATGGGGGTCAAGGATCCAGCCTTTGGGGTCCCCGTGGAGATGGGGGACCTTTGGGAGAGGTCCAGAACTCCAGTAGAGGACCGGCAGTGGGGGTCAGAGACCAGGCAGGTGGGGTTTCTGCACTGGTAGGTTTTGAAGAGGAAATACTGGCTTGATCTTTTCATATTGTTCATATTCTTGAAATAATATTTGGGCATATGGATTTCTTTTCCTAGTTTTATGACTAGTATGGACAGAGCAAGTTGGGACATAAGAAAGGATGTACAGGTGGGTTAGGCCTAAAGATGAGAAATGGCTTAGGTGGAAGGAAGTTGAGTGAACAGAGTGGACTGGGCTGGTGTATAGCATGTGTTTTCTGGTCCAACCCTGGAGTGTAGAGGGATGTGGTGTGAGAGGCTCTTGTGGGTTAAAGGTAGCAAAGCAGGACTTAGTGGAATCCTAAAGGTTGGTTGAGGCCAAATTAGGCTGGGGCACTTGACATGGGACCTGGGTGTGTTGGGTGGCAGAAGGGTGTGTTCGGTTTTCCAGTGCCTTTTCTTTTCTTTCTTTCTTTCTCTCCTTTTTTTTTAAAGACAGTTCTCAAGTAACTAGGCTACCTTCAAACTCACTATGTAGCCAAGGATGACTTGCCTCTCCTTCCCAAGTACTAGAATTACATGCATGTTCCAGCATACCCAGCCAGTCGCTGGGTTTGTTGTTGATTTATTGTGTGTATTGTGGTATATATAAATGTGCACGTATGTGGTGTGTGTGCGCACGTGCGTGTGTGTGCGTGCCTTTGTAGGCCAAGGGTCTGCATTGAGTATCTCCCTCTATCCTTTTTCACCTATTTTTTGAGACATGGCTCCTTCACTGAATCTTGAGCTTGTTGGCCAGCAATTCCCTCTGTGTCCCTCACTTATGTTCCTAATCCCTAGAGTTACAGACACCCACTGTCACAGCTGTTCTTGCAGTTAGCTTTTTGTGGGTGCTCTGGATCCAAACACAGGTCCTCATGCTTTTGTAGCTAATACTTAACACACAATATACTGAGTCATTATCCCTAGCCCCATCAGCTCTCAGTCAGTCATCCCCTCCCCCCCCCCTCCTTCTTTCCTTGGTTTCTATGTCACAGAGTACTGGTTGCTTGGAGCTCATTCTGAAAACCAGGCTGGGCTCTAGCTCAGAGATATCTATTCACTTGCTTCTGCCTCTTAAGTACTGAGGTTAAAGGCATGTACCACCACCACACCTGGCTGCAGCTACTTTTCTTAAATATAATTTTGAACTTACAGTAAAGTTATAGGAATAGTATAAAGAATTATATTCATCTAGAACCATATCTTAGTTTCTAGTGTTATGAAAAGACACCATGACCATGACAACTCTTACATAGTATTTAATAGAGGCTGGCTTACAGTTCAGAGGTGTAGTCTATTGTCCTCAGCAGGAAGCATGGCAGCATGCAGGCAGTCAATGGTGATGGAGAAGGAACTGAGAGTTCTATAGGCAGCAGGAAGAGTGAGCCACTGGGCCTGGCTTGAGTTTCTGAAACATCAAAGCTCACCTGCAGTGACACACTTCCTCCAACAAGGTCACAGTACTACAACAAGGCACACCTCCAAAAATGCCACTCCCTGTGAGCCTATGAGGGCCATTTTCAGTCAGACTACCACAGATCATATCACTGTAACATTATATTTTGCTGATTGAAACTGAGACCTTAATTTTCCTTTAACTTGAATACTGACTGTAGTGTTAAAGGTTATTTCAAAATTCCTCCTTTAGGTTTTATTTTTCTTTGGTAAACCTTGCAGTATATTCTTTTGGAAAGGAACTACAGGGTTTAAAATTACATAAATACTTAAGCAGAATGCATACACTTGTAGTACTAGCAGCCAGGATGCTATAAAGCAGGATAATTGTGAGTTTAAGGCTAACCTGTGCTGAGAAACCAAAGACATCTGTCACCATAATGTACCATGTTCTATTACAGACTCTATTCTTCATCAGCTATTTATTGTGCGATTCCTTGGTTCAATGGAGGTAAAATCAGATGGCCATCCAGATGTTGTTTATGAAACAATGCGCCAGATCTTAGCAGCTCGGGCCATCCATAACATCTTTCGTATGACAGAATCACACTTATTAGTCACTTGTGACTGTTTGAAGTAAGTAGTAACCCTCTCCAAACAAACTTACAGGAAAAATGATTTTTTTAATTCAGCCTAATTAAAAAATTATCCAAATTCTTAATTATTATAGGTTAATTGATCCGCAGACCCAAGTTACAAGGCTCACAGTGAGTTCTATGTGATTAAAGCTTTAAGTATCTTTTGTTCATATATACATTTTATAGTTTGATAATAATCTGGTCCTTATCTCCTAATATGACAATACCAATTAAGATTGGTTTTTAGGCTGTAGTTACATATATAGACAGCCCTAAAAATTTACTAAGCACTATATAACTTAAGGATTCAACACATTTTGGTTGAATTTTTTTTTTATCCCTAGAGAGTTTATTTGCCAAACAAATTAGCAGTAGAAATCAAAACATGAACATAATTGAGTTTATTTTATAGTGTATCTTTTTATTTAATCATTTACTAAGTAGAAAGTTTCTGTAGTTAAATTTGTATTGGCAAATATGTTATTGAGTAAAACTCAATATTTATTAATCACTTTTTGGTAATGTCTATGCCAAATACAGCATTATTTGTTTCTAGATGATTATTCCATTGAAAATTTGTCTTTAAAATTCTATTTATAATATTTTTAGAATTTATCATGAGTTTTTATCATCCGAATGCTGCTGTAATGATTTGGAAGATCTCATGTTTATTTATGGTGTTTTGTGGCAGTTTCCATTAGCATGTGTAGTTTTGTATGCTACACACCAGGAAAATAAACGCCTTTTTGGATTTGTTCTTCGGACATCAGGCGGAAGAAGTGAAAGTAGTTTGTCATCAGTCTGCTACATATTTGAATCAAACAATGAAGGGGAAAAGGTACCTGCCTTTCAGAATGTTTACTTTATAAAATACCTATCAGAGTCACAGTTTTACCCTAAAATTTCTGGAGAAAGCTCTCAGGTTATGCCTCGTGCAGCTGAGCTGCATCATGAAAGCATGTGCTCTGACTATGTCAGCTTCTGTAGACTATTGATAGCTAGCTCAGCCTTCTGTCTCGTTAACTCACCCTGGGAATAGTGGGTTAGTATATATTCCTATAGTCATTTTTAAGTGTTACTAGTTTACATCAATATCATCATCATTCTTTGGGTGATTTATTATATCAGTAATGATGCTTTAAAATTTTAAGTTTTTTGTATTTATGAGAACTTCATACATCAATCTCCTCTCCCTCTCCCCTTTCCAACTCCTCCTTTGTTCCCCCATGACTTAATTATTATTGGTGTGTGTGTATGTGTGTATAAACCATACTGAGTCCTTTTAGTGTTTCTTTTATATGCATGTGTTTTGGGCTAACCACTTAGAATTGGATAGCCTATTGGGGCTTGTCCCTGGACAAAACAGATTCTTCTTCTCTCAGCAGCCATTGGTTGTCTGTAGCTCTTGGGTAAGGCCTTGTGAAATTTCCTCCATTTACATTGGCATGTCAATCATTGTCAATTTTCAGGTCTTGTTAGGCTACTATGTTGTTGAGATTTCATGGATATTATCTTCCCTGTCATGTCTAGAAGACACTATTTCACAGCAGATGTTCTGGTTTTCTGGCTCTTAGTCTTTTCAACTCTCTCTTACATGATTTTCCCTTAGCCTTAGGTATAGGGGTATCAATTAGGCCTGACCACTCTACAGCCACTCACTGTCTACATTTTGAGCAGTTGTAGATCTCTGCAGTAGTCTCCATCAGTAATGAGTTTGATATAACAAGAAGTAGGATGGGCAGGGAAAGCCAGCAGCAGAAGCACATAGATTCTGAAGAAAACATGGTGAAATTGTTTTGGTTGAAATATCTTTAAGTAAATTCTTATTTAAACTTGTATGTTTTCTTATTAAAAAACTAGATTATTTATTATTATTATTATTATTATTATTATTATTATTATTAAACTAGATATGTCATCCATTTGGGATTTGAGAATTTTAGTGTAATAGAAAAGTATCTGAGGTCTGTCTTTTCTCCTTTTAGATTTGTGATTCTGTTGGATTGGCAAAACAGATAGCACTGCATGCTGAACTGGTAAGAATCAGAGCCACTTAATTTCCAAGGATGTTCTAGGTTAAAGCAGTATAATAAAAGCTCTTTCATACTAGCAAGTAAGTAAAATTGTTTTGCTAAATGAGAGTAACAGTAGATGCTATTGCTCGTATAGCATTTAGAATCTGGGACCAGATGGTGGTGGCACACACCTTTAGTCCCAGCACTTGGGAGGCAGAAGTAGGTGGATCTTTGTGACTTAGAGGCCAGCCTGGTCTACAGAGTGAGTTCCAGGACAGCCAGGGCTACATAGATAAACCCTTGGAAAACTATTGGTGTGCTTTATATAAAAATACTGAAAAGTTACAAAGCCCATATTAATTGAAATGTATATAATTTAAATTACTTTCTATTTAACATGTTTGTTTTATTTGTCTACCCCCTTTTAGGATCGTAGGGCATCAGAAAAACAAAAAGAAATAGAGAGAGTAAAAGAGAAACAACAGAAAGAACTCAGCAAGCAAAAACAGATCGAGAAGGTATCTGTTCCGTTATGTGGTACTGATGATAAATAATTCAGCACTGTGACTTTCAGACTTTAGTTTCCAAATGGAAGTCCATTTATTTTTTCTTGTTCGGCCACCTCATAACTAGATGATTCATTGCACAGCAAAAAAGGGTTGACATCTGAATTGCATAGTAGCTGCCATGAAATACAGTTTTCTGTTAAAGAAACATGCTAGAATTTTCATATACCAATAATAGACTTAATTGTCTTGCTGAAAGCCACATTTTATTTTAAGCATCATCAAGAATCAGCAAGAGTGTCATATTCATATACGTACCATATAATACACACACATACATACAAATACACACACTCATGCACACAGCATTCAGCACAGTTTGGTTGGTCCTGGAAACCAGATTGGGGTGACAAGGGAATAAATAAAGGACAGACACTGACGAAAAGATGTACACATGCACAGAAAAGCTGGGATGGAATGCTCTTTCTGATGGAGTGGCACCTACTACCACACAACAACCCCAACTCAGAGTTACTTATGTACAGCTCTTGTGGAGGGAGGGGTCAGCAGTCTGTGGGTCTCTGGAGGGAGCAGTCTCAGGTTGTAGTCATTCCTAAGGTAGGAGGAGGGAAGGGGAAACTGAGGTTGCTAGTTTTTGCACACTCAGCATCTGCATACAGACCAGAAGGTAGCTTTGCCAGTTCCCATGGGTTTGAGACATTGCAGTCCTTGACAAGGCTGTGCTCATGTCAGTAATACACATTCACTCAGGGCTTCTTCCATTCCCCCACAGCACACTTTTTAATTTTTTTGTGTAGTAAGGATCAAACTTGCCTAATTAAAAGTACACAGTTTTCAGATCCAAAACTTGATTAGCTGATCCAACAAGGGATTGTAGGATCCTGTTAAGGGTGGTGGCATCAATGATAAAAAAACAGAGAAAGTAACTGGGGAATATGTATGCAAAGAGACCAGTAAGAACTGGAAATGAGTTGGATGTAGGTAGGGCTGAGAAGAGAAAATGCAAAGACAGCACCGAGATACATTTTAACTGAGGGAAAGTAACCCCTGGAGAGGAGTGGGGAATAGGATGTGGACTACAACGTAACTTTCTGACTATGAGAGTCTTGCATAGTGGGTAATGAGATATGAGGATGGAACTTGGTTATGAGCCATAGAACGAGAAAGGGAGGATAAAATTGTGAACTTTTTTTTTAGATGTTTGCTTTTATGGAGTTATTCATACTATGCCAAAATTCACCCTGTTGTCTCCCATTTGTTGAATATGGCTTTTCTTTTCATCAGATTGCCAGAATTATGCATGTGACAGGATTGGAGTGTCCCTCAAATACAGTAAAAGTACATAGAAAATTAGTTTAGAAAACTGTAGTTTTCCATTTGGCTACTGACAGTTAACTTAGTTTCTTTTTTATCTTTCCACCAGGACTTGGAAGAACAGAGTCGGTTGATAGCTGCTTCCAGTAGACCAAACCAGGCTGGTAGTGAGGGCCAGCTTGTCCTTAGCAGTAGCCAATCAGAGGAGAGTGATTTGGGAGAAGAAGGCAAAAAAAGAGAATCAGAAGCATAAACAGCATAAGCTTGCTTTTGCTTCTTGACTGATTTTCCCTGTCCCCTGGAATGTGGCACAAGGTAACCAAGTTAAAAGACCAAGGAGGAGACTAAGCTTTATATTTGCTTGTTTCAGCTTCATTTAAAAAAGACTATATATAATATTGCACATATCCCCTTAAAAATAAAATACTATGCATTATCATCAAATTCTGCTTACCTAAGTAAGACCTGCTTACTTTCCTGTAGTAGATTGCTGAGGAATCACACTTGCTCAAGATATTTTTCTTTGAAATTCTGAGTGCTTTTTATCACGCACTATAATTGACTGTCTCCATAAGAAATCATTTATTCTTCAGATTCTGACATCGCATGTGCTCTTTCCCTTTCTTTAGGAATGTCTTGTTGGTAGTGAGGGAGTGTTCAACCGAATGAGCTTAAAACCCTTTGTATGGAGAATCCTACAGGTTTGCAAATATCCTAACAATATTAAGTATGCATGCAGTAGGATTTGTATGAAATCACTAGGGCAGTGGCACACGGTGCTGTTGATTTCGGGGCATTTTCTGGGCTTGCTCCATGTCTCTGATGGCAGTATATCATGGCAGGAGGAAAGAAAAAGTGTCTGTTGGCGTTTGATACAGTTCTTGGCATTTTGTCACCATCTTCTCAGTTCTAAGGTAGGGACTTTACTTATTGCTGCAGAGCAGTAAGGGTTAGAATAAAATTTCAGAATTTATTGAAAGATTTTTGTTGTTGTTCAAGCATTTTATATTAGCATTGACATGTAAAGGAAGTGTTGTGGAGTGATACATTATATTTTCTGTATTGTGAAATAATTTTTATTGATAAGTGACATTTCAAAAGATGTTCTATAACATTTATGTTTATTGCTTAGAATAAAAAATGTGCAGTTTTGTTTAGAGAACATAATCTTTTAAATTTCAGACTGATAATATCAGTATTTTCATAATCTCCCATTTTGATAATGAATTGAATTCCTACTTTATATCCTCAAAAGGCAAATAACTAATTTATGAGTGTAGAATAATTTGTACTAATTGTTGTAAATACTTTTACTTTTCAAATGAGTAAAAGCTCTAATTCCATGAAAGACTAAGAGGAACTGGACACCTCATTCATATAGTGTAGGACCAAGGAAGGAGTCAGCCTGCTACCAAGGTTGACATGCCCTACAGTTTATCTTCTGTCAAAACTCTTTCTTCACTCAGATTTTAATCTTTGTTTATAGATTTTATTTTCATGTGTTCTAACATATATATACATATATATGTTAAATATATTGAATAAAGAGGTTAATCACTAATTTCACAAGTAATTTTCTCTTAGTTCTGAGTTAGAAGTGGCTTCTGTTTTAGTTTTCAGAATATAGCTCAGTTTCACACTGTATAAATACAGTTTTCTGTAGTAATGAGATTCTCATATACATACAAACATACATACATACATACATACATACATACATATGAGATCATGATAACTATTTTTATCCGTGTGCCAAATGGGAGTAATGGTTATTTAATACTCTTTAAAGTCTTATGTTACCTAAATATACAGTTAATAGGTAGCAATTTATGGAGTACATTGGGTTAAAAGTATATTTTGTGCTTTTAAAGGGAATGCTTTTGTATTAGTATTTCCTTCTTGTTAAACTAGAAATTTCTGTGGTCAGCACTTGATTAAGACTTTAAGATTGGTAAGGTTTCTGGGTTTTGTTGTTGGTCTTGTTTTTGTTGTTTGTTTGATTTTGGCAGTGCTGGGGATCAAACCCAGGTTCTCACACATGCTAAGCAAGCCCTCTACCACTGAGCTGCAGCCCTATCTCAAGTTTTCAGTTTGTGAGGTCTTTTCTTGATGTAAGATGTCCTGCAGCTTCAGGGGAAATCTGTTGTTTTACAGTAAGAGTGCTCATCATCCGGAGACAGTTTTACTTGCTGCTGCTTTGCATCGAAGCAAAATGCTGCTATTTGGATAAAAATTCAGGCCAGGGGTGAGGGTTTTTTAATTCTTTTAAGTCATGTTTCATAGGAATTCCCACAGTTGCTGTCTTGTCACAGGTCAGAAAAGAATATACTCCAATGCCCAGGACATATCCTGAGTGGATTACAGTTTCAGATGATTTAGCTTCTGTTCTGTCACTATTAAACTGTATGGGATTCTGCACATCAGCTTTAATCAGCTCTCTTGCTTAAAGAAGACTGCCTGTGAGCTTCTTCCCAAACATTAGTGCTGATCTTCTTCTGGTGTACTGTCCTCCAAAATCTCTCCCAGCATTTTAGAAATTAACAAAATGTCTTTAAAAAGGAAAAGAAATTTAGCCTATCTAATTCTACTGAGCACTGTTACCTATATTGACAATTCTTGCATAATTGTGGTAATAAATTCAACAGAAAATCACTTATTTCTCTATCCTTGCTAGAAACTTGCTATGGACTGAAATTGTCCTTTGAACAGAGTCCCTGAACCCCTGAAACTAATTTTGTTGTTGCCATGTATTTAATGATTACTTGGTGTTTAATTTCAAAAGAATTCCTAGCTCCACAGTGTTGGGATGAGGAAGTTGTCATTATTTTTGAGAAAAGGATAGTACGATGTACATAACAGTGTAGGTAACATGATTTTGTGTGGTGGATGCTCACAAGCTACTACAGGAATCAGACTATTTACAATTTGAACTGACAGTGCTGGCGCACCCTGAGAGCTGCGATATTACAAAATTTTCTGGCATCTGAATGAAACAAAAATACTGATTTGCTTTTGATTACAAGTCTGAGCATTCAGATTATTCTTTAAATATTAAACACACCAGTGTATATAACAAGCAAGCTTTTCATCTTGTTTTTTTTTTATCAAGTTTGAATTATTTCTCTTTAAGATTTTTTTTTTCTACATTAATAACAGCTTTGAAGCTAGAACCATGCTGGACTTTTAACCAGTCTCTGGCTACACTTGTAAGTAACTGACTTCAGTTAATATGAATACTGGGGATTAAGTGATAATAATTGTGCAAGACTGCTTTGTACATTTTGTGATTTTTGTAACTAAGTAAATTGATTAACCCTGTTTCACTGATAATATTAACCAACTGTTCAGTGTACAATTAAAAATCATGCAGCATCTCTCTTTAAAATTGGATTTGTGATCATGGTATAGCTTGTAGGGCAGAGAACTTATTTTTTCATTTGTCAAAGTAGGTATTTGCTGACAAGGCTTCAAGAAATTGGAATTTTTAAAATGTGTAATAAAGTCCATAATTTTATACAGATTTTATGTATGAAATATGTTTCTCCAAGTAATTTCTGATGTTTTTAGTCTGGGGCTAGAGAGGTAGCTCAGCAGTCAAGAGCACATGTTCTTCTTCCAGAAGCCCAAGTTCAGTTCCCAGCACCCACATCAGATGGCTCACATTTTCCTGCAACTTTAGCTGATCTGACAGTTCTTCTAACATCAATGGGCATTGTGCTCACATGTTCATAACCCCACGCAGACACAAGTACATACATATAATTAAAATACTGAGACAAATCTATTTTAACACTTGGACCCACCACAGCCAAAATGGGGGTGGGGAAAGTGACTTACCAAGAAAAGGTTGACTTTTTATTGCAAAGGAAAGAGACTTCAATAATTAATTACTCCAGTAAGTTTTTTTTTTTTTTTTTTTATGATGTATGCTTTATGCTGTTATCCTACTTGAAGAAATCCCTCTAGTTAAACTGGCGGGTTGTTTGCTCCAGCTTAAGTAGCTTGGACCTGTAGTTTTAATACTAATGTATTTATTCCATGTGCTCTGTGTAGTTAAATTATAGCACCTAGCAAGCTCTTTCCTTCTGCTGAGAATTTGCATTCTAATTTGTTTTGAGTTTTACAGAAATGTATATATACTTGGGAAGGGGGTGGATGAAATTAACTAGCATTTTATAACTTACCTAAGTGCATGTGTGACCTAATTGAACACTTCAAGTTCACTAATATTGCAAAAGTTTTAGTGTAAAAATAGTTATAAGTCTGTGTTTATTGAAGTAGCTAATGCACACAGAATCCCTAGATCAGAAATCAAAGAACTTTAGTTGTACTAAAATGAACTATGGTGATGCTAAAAATATTAAGACTGACTATGGAACTTCAGTGTGATGCTGACTGCCCTGCAGTGAGATGGAGTGTATCATCCTGCAGTGCCATTTGAATAAGACATAAATGCAGCTTAATAAACACCCATATTTTTCCTCAGCTTTCACATACAGAAAGCTGTATGTGGAATTAAAAAGTTTAAGTGTCCTTTACTTATATACAGTATAGCATAAGAATAAAAATTTATAATTAAAAATTTTAATTATAAAGTTTAGGTATATTTAAAATAAATATAATTAAAAATATTATTTAATGCAATATGGTATAGAAATAAAAATTTAAACTGGTACCTTCTGATAGTAGTGAGCCCCTCCCTGTTCAGTGCCCACCTGTGTTTCATGCAAAAACTATATGTAAGTTCAACATCAATTCGAAAACAAATTCCTCTGCCAGGGATCACATTAATTAGTAATCAGGAATTTTCAGGAAGATGGCAAATGTTTTCCCTATCAGTGATAGAATTTCAGTTCAGAGTTCTGAATTACCGTGCCTGTGTACTTAACCGAAGAAATGATGTGAGCTGCTAAGTTGGCACTAGGATTTGGGCACATGGACTGCTCCTTTCCAGGTCATATACTGGGTTCTTCTACTCAATTGAATCAGTAAGTTATATATTCTCTGTAAAAAGATTACAAAAGTCATGGCTAGGTAAGGCTGTGCACATTTTCAATCCTAGGTTTCAAGAGGCAGAGGCAGGTAGATCTCTGTGAGTTCCAGGTCAACAGAGGTACCCTGAGTGGCACCTGTTATTTTGAGCATAAAGAAATTGCATTCATACTCTTACTATAATATCAATACACAGTTAGAAGTGGGTATTTTTCAGTTATTTGAAATTCATACCAGCTCCTAAGGTCTTACCTAGTAGCTTAAGATTGGCTTTGAATTTGAGGTCTTCCTACCTCACCTCCTGAATAGTTTGGATTATAGCCATGTGCTGCTGTACTTGCATGAGTTTTTGGGTTTGATTTTTTAATTATCTTATAGTTCTAGCCATGTGTTGAGAAACTATGTTCAAAGCTATTGTCTTTGTTTTTTGGCCTTTTTTTTTTTTTTTTTTTGGTTGTTGTTGTTGTTGTTTTCCTGAGACAGTCTCCATAGTATCCTTGAATTAACCATGTAGCCATGGATGACCTTGAATTCTTGATCCTTCTGCCTCTATCTCCCAAGAGCTGGGATTACAGGTATATACCATCATGCCTGGCTTCAAAGCTACTTTAAAAATTTTAAATTTATTTTTGGCAATTTCACACATGTACATATTTTGATTATATTTACCCTCATCACCCCTTATTATCCCTCTTTCATTCCTGCCAAACCCCTTAATAAGTTCCTGCAACTTTTATCATTTATTTATTTGACTCACTGAGTAATTAGGTTGCTTGCATGAGTATGAAGACAGGGCAGTGCAAATGTAGCAAGCAGACAACTTACTGGAGTATGAACAACTCTCCAGGTTATATCACTGGGGAAAGTGTGTCTTCCCCCTCAGCAGCTGTTAGTTACCAGTCGCTCTCTGAGGAGTAGTGGACCTCTTGAGCAGCCTTCCTTCATCCACCATAGTTTTGTTTGTTTTGTTCATTTAGAGAGAGAAGTGTGTGTGTGTGTGTGTGTGTGTGTGTGTGTGTGTGTGTGTGTGTGTGTGTGTGTGTATGTCATGGATGCATGTGGAGATCAGAGTACAAGTTGTTGGGGTTGATCTCCTACCACTGAGCTCTGGCAGTCAAGTTCTGATCATCAGGCTAATGTGGCAGGCACTTTCCCCTCTGGTGCTATGATGGAATGCTGGTGGGCCCAACCTTGGGGCGGTTACCAGTTTCTGTGAACTCATGAGATCAGGATGACCATGTCATGTACAGGATTTCATATCAGCCCTCCCCATCCTCTCTCTGATTCAACAATTTTTCTGCTCCTTCTTCTGTCATATTCTTTGAGTCTCAGTGGGGGATATTATGAATGTTCTGTTTAGAGTTGAACACTCAATAGTTATTTTTCCTTAGCATTTCATCAGTTATGAGTCTTTACCTTGACACCTACCAAAAAAAAAAAATCTCTAACCAAGGCTGAGATAACTAATTTATGAATATAACATACTTAAAAGGCAATTTGAGAACATGTTCATTTAGTAAAATATCTAGTAAAATATCAGTAGGATCTTTCCTAGGGCTATGGCCTCTGCAGCCTAGAACTTTAAAAACAGCAAGCCCACCCCCCCTCCCCCCAACCCCTAGGTTTATGGTACCAGGCATAAACCCCTTGGAATGGAATGAGTCTCAGACCCAGGTGGAGAGCAGGGCTATCTCTTCACAGTTGTATCAGGACACATTGTGCCTGGCAGTTCAGTACTGTAACATACAGAGCCATTGTGCACTGCAAACTAAGTGGAGATGCCTTCAGCAAGAGCGTCAAGTGCAAGAACAATAACCTGTATTGTCTGAGAGATTTCTGAAGTCTCTTTGAACAGCTCATAGAGAGGTATACCATACAGAAAGACTTTAAATGATGTAGGCTACATTGAAGTTTTAATTACCAAATAAAGAGAAAAGTCATTTACAATGATTAAGAAAATGGTGCAGCTTTCTCCTCCAAAATAGGTCAGTTACCAGGATCCGGTAAAACTTTCTTGTCCATAAAGGTCATATTCTTCGTAAAGGACATAAGCTTTTAGACGCTTGGGCAATGGAAGAAATGACATGAAGACGGGGCAGCGCAGACGTAACCGTCCCATACACTTCCGGATCTTAAGGCGGCACAAGTGTTTGAGAGAACGAGGGTTTGCTAAAACAAAAAGAATTGCTTTGTTTCTTGGTGACCTGACGGCTCAGTTGGCAAATGTATTTGATATCTGTGTTAGCAACATTTCTCTTTGCCATTTCAGTCTGTAGGGAAACAGCTCTTCAGCCCTCATCACAGCCTTCAATAGAGGTAGTTTCAGACCCATATCAATTGTCAGTCTGGCTTGTGAGACCCACAGACCCTCCAAGTACTTAAGTGTCAGCTCCCCCATCCTATCTCTTGGGATTGACTAAAAGCTCAAAGGTCACCTCAGAGGAAAGATATAAGAAAATCTTAATTTGACCCAGGCAATTCCCTTTTGCTATTGCCACTTCAAACCTTTTCATTCTTGGGTATATTGTTCCCCATAGCCATTGGGAAAAAAGTGTTACCTACCTACAAAGTAAGTAATTAGATGGGAAATGATGATAAGCACACATTAAGTGTAGTTATGAATAGCACCATTTTAAAAGAATAGTCATTTCTATTCTTTTTAGGTCAACCTTTTAATCAGAAGAATGTTTTGGTAAGAATTGTTTATAAGGAAGATACTCACTCAAGATAAAATGTATTTCTGACCAAAGCTTTTGCTTTTCAAGCACAGCCTTCAATTTTGAACAGATTTGAACTTGATCAACGTAATCAAGCATCACACGAACAACTTTCCCAGAAAGATGCTGTAGCCACGACAAAGTTATGACTTCACAAAACTGAGAGGAAAAGAAGCAGAAAGCAAAGAAAGCATTGAGCAGCTGTAGTTTAGCAAAGTAATGAAAAGAGCACTAAACGGAGTCACTTGCTTGTCTGATCTCAGTGTGGTCTTGGAACTATACAGCTTAAGGAGGCTTGACAAATAGTTACATGTTTGTTGTTTGGTTCTCTGCAATAAAGACGGCCTTGAAACTAACAGTTCCAGCTGTCAGATGTGAATAGGAATCTGAGCAGCTACCTAGATACCCTTAAAGAAAAGCAAGACACAGGCAGCCTTCTGGCTAGCTGGAATATGGGTATGTGTTTCTCCTGTTAAACATAAAACTGTCTAGTAGGAAGATAACTTAGTGATGGTTCTTATAGGAGGAGCGGATGAGACACCTTAGTTCATTTTAGAAAACAGTGTGGGGGGGTCTGGGTGTGTGTGTATGCATGCGAGTGCGTGTTGTATTCATGCTCATGCATGTGTATGTATTGAGATCAGAGGACAATGTTCTGGAGTTGGTTTTCTCCTTCCATTATGTGGGTTCCAGGGATCAAACTCAGGTCATCAGTCTTGGTGTTAAACACCTTAACTTGCTGAGCCATCTTGCTAGTCCTTTTTTTTTTTTTAAAGGTAGAGTCTTACTATGTTGTTCAGGCTGGTCTCAAGTAATACCTCCTGAGTAGTTGGGACTGTATGTGCACCATTTTGCCCAGCTGTCATTTTAGCTTTTTTTTTTTTTTTTTTTTTTTTTTTTTTTTTTGCATTTCTGTTTCTTATAACCTAAATCTGATCCTGACACCTAAATAGTATGACAGTTTCTGTCTTTAAATAATTTATGTGCCCTTAGAGAAGATACCCAAAAGAGAGTTGAAGTTATAATAATGTATGAGTTATTCAGGAAATACCAGATGGTGTATGCCCAAATGCCAAATCAGTGCATAAAGTAATGTGGACCCTTATTACCTAAATAAAATCTTACATTTCATCAAACTTGTATTCCATTCACTATCTTACTTGTTTTCAATTCTTTTGTTTGTGTGTGGGGGGGCGGTATTTTGAGACAGGGTTTCTCTGTGTAACTTTGGCTGTCCTGAAACTTATTTTGTAGACCAAACTGGCCTCAAACCCATGTATATCCACCTGCCCCTGCCTCCCCAGTTAAAGGGTTAAAGGTATGCGTCACCACCACCCAGTCCTTGTTTCACATGTGACAGTATAAATTCGGGTATGTACAGAACATGCACTATGTGTTAATCATAGATTTAAAACCAAAGAAACAAAATGAGTAAGAGCTGATATTCATATATTTGTGAGGGGGTGCAAAATAATTAAAATGATAATTCTAGATAAGTGCTATAAAAGAAATCTCCACAATAAGAGAATTGATTGAAGGAGTGAACCACTTAAGGTAGATAGGGAAGGGCCTGTGGGAGAGGACACTTGAAATAAGACCTGAAACAGGGAGGAAGCCATTTGAAAGCCTAGAAAGTAGCAGAGGAGGTAAGGCAAAGCCAAGAGACTGGTATGTGATTCTCTTTACCAGAAAGATGGCAAAAGGAAATGGGCTGATCAAATTTAAGACCTAAAAGGGATAACCAAAGAGACACAGTGATGATAGGTATGGAGAACTTAGAAACATTCTAGCTGAATAAATCAAAGAAAACATAGCTAGAATAGCAAGATTTTATACAGTTTTTAAAACTTTGCTCTTATGTTGAACTTGTGAAACATCCTCATAGTTCTGACTAAAGTCACTTTCTCCTCTGAATTATTTCTGTACTTCTTACATCTTCCCATAGCTAGATTTAGTTGTGTTACTAGATATCATACTAGAGTTCCCATTGTGAGCTTTTCCTAGGGCATATTGTGTCTATTGGTTATAGTTCCAAGGCTACAGACAACAGTTTAGGGAATACCACCAGCATTGTGGGCTTACCATAGTATCTTTAATAACTGTAGATGTCCAGCCTTCAAAAGTACAAAGACGATGAACTCTGTCCCCTTGAGGACAATCAAAACATCGCTTTGTGTCATACCCATAATTCAACAGCATCCTGAGCATGACTTCATCTTTCAATGAGTATTGCAGTGCTGATGGGAAATGCAAAGGGTTAACTCTGCAGAAGTAATTAACATTTGCCCCATGCCTCAGTAGTAGACTTATGAGCTCATAGTTGCCCATCCTGAGAGCTATCTGTAGGCAGTTGACTGGATCTTGATTGGGTAGAGCTCCAGCACTCAGAAGCAGCTTAACTGAAGAGAGGTCGCCATTTGAAACTGCAAAATACAAGGCTGACTTCCTTTGATCATCATAGTATTTACGGATTCTCTGATCTAGCATGAAATTCACATCAAATCCAGCCTGAATGAGAAGTTCCAGGCACTGGGGATGTGCCCCAGCTGCTGCACAGTGAACTGGACTAATCCCGCTCCTTTTGATGGCAGCAGTATCTGTGACTGGAACCAACATCTTTAGAGCTCTGGGGAAAAAAATTTTAAATGCACTTTAGGTTGTTCCAATGCAGAATTAACCTGTCTATGATGCTATTATCCCTACAATGAATGATAGATGTTAATCAGGTGGTATTTAGGACCCTTACCAAAAGTGCTAGTTTCTTCATCAAGAAACTCAAATGTCAAATTTAATAGCACTACTGTTTAGGTTAAAACTCTTAACTAGCCAACTCACCTGAGACCCAAGGCTTCCCATATTTCCCAAACTGTGCTTTAAGAAAATTTAGTTATTACTATTTCCTGTTAGAGTTACAGAATTGGACTTACAATAAGTGGCCTTTGTCAGCTGCCACATGAATGGGCAGGTGGCCTGAACTTTTAGGAATGTTGGCATCAGCTCCATAATCCAGCAACAGAGTCACAGAATCTGGATTTCCTCCTCTAACAGCTTCAAGTAAAATGGAGGAACAATCAGAGGCCTGACTGTGAACATCAGCCCCTAAGAAGAGGAAAAGTCTCATTAGGCAAAGTTTCTTTTCCACACTGTTGTTTAAGCAATCTTAATAGACTATTACCTCCACTAAAAAGCAACTCAGCAGTTAAGAGCAGTTGTTGCTTTTCCAGAGGACCAGGGTTTGGTCCCAGCACCCACAAGTGTAGTGAGATATTCACTTTGTCCATATCTGTGGCACAGATCATGCCCATTGGGGGTGGGGACAGAGGTGGACATTACCTGGGGGAACTAAGTCTGAGGAGGGGCCCAGGAGCTCTTACTTGTAGCACTGGGACAGGAGAGCATCTGGAGGCATCCTTGGGACCAGGAACCTGCTGGTGTTCATCTGTTTATGTTGCTATTTCTTCCTGAATAAACATCTATTTGGCTTGTTTTTTCTCCTGATCCTTATTAAACCTCAATACACAAGGTGGTTCTCAACCATCTGAAACTCTAGTTCCACAGGATTGATGCTCTCTTCTTACCTCTGTGGGCACCGTACACACATGTGGTGCATATATATACAAACACTCATACACTTAAATATAAAAATAAAACATTTTAAAACAATCAGTACCTGTTACAGTAAAACACTAAGAATCAAAGACATAGAATGTGTGTTCCCTTTTCCTAATGCAGTATAAATTAGTTAGGGAAGGAAACCATGGGATAAGCCATTTCTAAATTACAGTTTGGTTGACTTTCAGAATAGTTTAATAGGTTGTTTGACACTTGGAACTCCAGTAGGAATACTTAGTAAAAGGTAGCCTTCTTTCTAGACCAGCTTATAAAGGCCACCCAATGCACAACATGCATGTAGAACAGCACAACAAGCAACTGTATTTCCATGTCATCTAATGATAATTTAAATAAATTATTTAAAAATTTTATTTTTCAAATTATTAGAAACTTCATAGTAAAAGACCCTAATCCTTCTTAGTTAAAGTTGAAGACTATTGAAGACTACAAAGGTAACTTATACCCATACTTCATCAAGTATGTAGGTTAAGTGTCCTCTGGAAGATCTAGGGCAGGGATTGGGAGGGGACCTGGAAGCTGAAGAAAAGGAAAGATGTCTGAGTTGATGCTAGAAGTCTCTGAATCTGACACATTCTGAGCATATTTAGAGCTCAATAAAAAGATATGCCTTTAGTTTAAAACGAACTCCATATCCAGGACTGACTGCATAAGAACCTTGTTTCTGGAATGCAGTAAGCAATAAACATTTTTGAGTGTTCACTATGTCCTAGTTCCTTTATGTGTGTGAGAATTTCTAAACTTGTGACTAGAGAGAGCTTAGCCATTGAAACTGCTTGCTGCTCTTCAGAAGAGCTGAATTCTGTTCCCATCACCCATGTTGGGTGGCCTAACAACAACCTTTAACTCCTGCTTTAGGGGTTCAATGCCCTCTTCTAGCCTTCTTGGATACCTACACATTAATAGCATACACACAGAGACAGTCATATGTAGTTAAAAATAAAATCCTGGCCAGGAGTGATGGCACACACCTTTAATCTCAGCACTGGGAGACAGAGGCAGGTGGATCTCTGAGTTTGAGGCCAGCCTGGTCTACATGGCAAGCTCCAGGACAGCCAGGGCTGTCTCAAAAATCAAAGATAAATAAAGATAGAATCTTAAAGAATTTCTAAACTTCACAATGAATGCCAGAAGTAGGTCTTAATATCCTCATTTAAAGGTAAAGAAACTCAGGCTTCTGAGTTTTAAGTTCCCCAAAGGCAGCTAGTAGACAAGAGGATTAAGATATGTGAGCACATCTCCAGATTCAAGTTTACTTTTTTGAGACCATGTTATTACTGCAGCCACACAGGGTGGTAAAGCAATGTGATCTAGAGTCAGATATGACTTCAAATGCTGACTCACTGTACAGTAAATGCTGGTTTGTCTGACAGGTAAAAGATGGGAGGCACCCTTGAACGAATTGGTAAAGGAGACCATTTCCTGAACATAACACCAGTAGCACAGAGACCGAGATTGACAATAAATGGGACCTCCTGAAACTGAGAAGCTTCTTTAAGGCAAAGGACACATTCAACAAGCTCATAGAATGGGAAAAGATCTTCACCAACCCCACATCTGATAGAGTGCTGATCTCCAAAATATATAAAGAACTCAAGAAGCTAGTTACCAAAACACAAAATAATCCAATTAAGTGTGGTATAGAACTAAATAGAGAATTCTCAATAGAGGAATCCAAAACTGGCTGAAAGACACTTAAGTGCTCAACATCCTTAACCATCAGGGAAATGCAAATCAAAACTCTGCTATACCATCCTACTCCTGTCAGAATGGTTAAAATGAAAAAAAAAACACCAATGATAGTTTATGCTGGAGAGAATGTGGAGAAAGGGAAACATTCCTCCATTGCTGGTGGGAGTGCAAACTAATACAGCTACTTTGGAAATAAGTATGGTGGTTTCTCAGAAAAATGGGAATCAGTCTACCACGAGATCCAGCAATTCCACTCTTGAGCATATACCCAAAGGATGTACATTCATACCAGAAGGACATCTATTCAGTTATGTTCATAGCAACATTATTTGTAATAGCCAGAACCTAGAAGCAACCTAGATGCCCCTCAACTGAAGAATGGATGGAGAAAATGCGGTACATTTACACAATGGAGTATTACTCAGTGGAAAAAAACAAAAAACAATGGAATCTTGAAATTCGTAGGCTAATGGATGGAACTAGAAGAAACCATCCTGAGTGAGGTAACCCAGACACAGAAAGACAAACATGGTATGTACTCACTCCTAAGTGGATATTAGACATAGAGCAAAGGATTACCAGCCTACAATCCACATCACCAGAAAAGCTAGGAAACAAGGAAACCCTAAGAGACATAAATGGTCCCCCGGAGAAGGGGAAAGGGAACAAATTGGGAGCATGGGGGAGGTGGGAGGGAAGTAGGAGAAAGGGGTGGGGAGAACAAGAGGGATCAGTTGAAGGAAGAATAGAGAAGGAGAGCAAGAAAAGAGATACCATAATAGAGGGAGCTATTATAGGTTTAAAGAGAAACCTGGAACTAGGGAAATGTCCAGAGATCTACAAGGATGACCCCAACTAACAATCTAAGCAATAGTGGAGAGGCTACCTTAAATACCCTTCCCTGATAGTTTAGATTGATGACTACCTTATATGCCATCGTATAGCCATCATCTAGTAGCTGATGGAAGCAGAAGTAGACACCCACAGCTAAACTCCTGGAATCCAGTTGTAGAGAGGGAAGAGTGATGAGCAAAGAGGTCAAGACCAGGCTGGGAAAACCCACAGAAACAGCTGACCTGAGCAAGTGGGAGCCCACAGACTCCAGTCAGACAGCTGGGGAACCAGCTTAGGACCTTACCAGGCCGCCTGAATGTGGGTGTCAGTTGGGGGGCCTGGACAGTCTTTGGGGCCTCTGGCAGTGGAACCAGTATTTATCCCTAGTATACGAATGGACTTTGGGAGCCCATTCCCTATGGAGGGATACTCAGCCTAGATGCATGGGGGAGGGCCTAGACCCTGCCCCAAATGACTTGGCAGACTTTGATGATTCTCCATGGGAGGCCTCACCCTCCCTGAGGAGTGCATGGGGGTAGAATGGGGGGTTGGTGGGCATGGGAGGAAAAGAGGGAAAGGGAACTGGGATTGGTATGTAAAATAAGATTGTTTTTAATTTAAATAAAAATTTATAAAATTGGCTGTCTTGGAACTTTCCCAAATGCTGGGACTAAAGGCATGAGTCACCACTGCCCAGTTGAGTTCAGGTTTTAAAATAGCCAACATTCACACACAATTTTCACAAACACCGGTGTTTATAAAATGTTAATTTCTGTTATTTTAAAACACCCCATCAAGAGGAACTCTTGGGGAGTCTGGAGGGATGACTTAGTGGTTGAGAGCACTGGCTCCTATTCCAGAGAACCTGAATTCAATTCCCAGCATCCACATGGCAGCTCACAACAGTTTTAACTCTAGTTCCTGGGCATTTGACTCCCTTTTCTGGCCTCTGCGGACTTTGCATGCATGTAGTAAATGGACATACATGCAGGCAAGACACTCCTCCACACAAAATAAAAAAATTTAATTCTTAAAAAAAAAAAAAAAAAGATCAAACAATAAGCCCTACCCCCACCCCCAAAACCAACTCTTGGCTCTCAGTACTCTTGTAACCAGTTATTGGGTAAGTCTTGCCTTTCTGCAGTAAGAGTTCCATGATTTCAGTGTGTCCGCTTTGAGCTGCAAGTGCAAGAGGAGTAAATCCATAGGAGCTCCGTGCATCTGGGTGTGCCCCAGAAGTCAGCATCAACCTCACCATATCCAGTCTGCCTAGCTTGGCAGCTTCATGGAGAGCCGTCCTTTCATTGGCACATCGCAGATTGACATCTGCTCCATGGCTGATCAGCAAGGTGGCCATGTCGTAGGAGTCTTTCAGAACAGCTGGGGAATTGTGAGGTGGACATTATATTAAGAGGGGCTTAAGGTAAGTGGCATATTAGCTAGTACCCCTCAGCTTCTTAAGGAACTCCTCCCCTCCTTCACAATCCAGCATTCTGTGTTTAGGAAACACATTTTAAAATAACAAAGCGATGCTAGCTAGCACTGTTTTTATATCAATGGGATGTGGGATTTTTGTTTTGTTTTTTGTTTGTTTGTTTTTTATAAGCTGTGAGCAGCTACTGTCTCCTGGGTATTTACATGGTTGGGATAAAGTTTATTATCTTTATTTTCTCAAGAAAATGGGAGCTTCATGGAGAGGCTCACAAGCTGCACCCTTTCCTAGGATCCACAGGCAGTTAATGGTTACTGGAGGGTATCGAGACATTTCTTCAGTGATAGAACCACTATTAAGTTGTCTATGCTCCTGTAAAAGTAGCCTCTCACCCATGTTTTTTTTAAGCATCCCTAATTAAACTCACTGGATCATCAAAAACAAGGACATGAAAGTGTGTTGGGGGGTATCTGAAAAGAGGAAGAAGATTAGAGGGACAAAAGAGGGTAATGGGGGAGTGGGCATGACAGAAATATACACATATATGAAAATGTCATGATGATGGTGTATGCGTAAATGCCACATCAGTGTACAAAACAACCCCTGTATTTACCACCTAAAAATACATCACACAGCATAAAACTTTTCATTTTTCAGAAATGTTATAATGAAACCCAGTAATATGTGTAAAAAATGTATGGTAATTTTTTTTTAAGAATGAGAGAAAAGGAGGGGCACTTAGATGGCCTAGTGGGCAAAGGACTTGCTGCCATGCGTGACAACTCATGTTCCATTCCTGTGCAACAAATTGTGTAGGGAGAGAACTAATTTCTGCAAGTTGCCATATGACCTCCACACATGTGCCATGTCAGTGGACCCCCAAGTACCCCCCCACAATGAGTAAATAAATGTAAAAATGTTATACAAAGGAAAAGAAAATACATGTCCATACGTAAATTACTTAAGAAGGACAGAAATGCTAAGGCAAGCCTAAACTTGGCATGACTGTCCACTAAGATTGCTCCTTCACCTGACATGGAGTGACATGGAGTGGTGGTGACAAGTCTTATTTACATATTAATTCTATCTTTGGAATTGTTTATGAAAACCATCTTTAATAAAGTAAACTATTTTTTAATGAGAATCTAAATGCTTAGTACTGTCCTAAGATGCTTGCAACTGCTTAGAAGGAGAATCCTAACAGGAGCCACCTCAGCAATGGATGGAGGGCTAAAACGCAATTTAAATATCTATAGGAATGGCTCAGCTCACAGGTTCCCAAAGTGCACAGAATGTTCCCTGAGGTTCTTTGTGATGATGATAGTGTAGTTAGCAATAGCTGAAACAAACAAGAGTGCTGGCCTAGACTACAGTACCACAGACAACAACATGAATGAATGAGAGGCAGAAATCCAGAGAGGAAACCAGCTTCCCACCATCATTGTGAAAGGTTTAGAGTGTGTGTTTGCTTTTCACATGTGACTCACACACACTATTATCACGCAAGAGGTTTCAAGAGGCTGGCACTGACTCACAGTTCTCACACATCCTGTGGTGTGGTGCTCTATAGTTTAGGCACTTCCTTCTCAGGAAGACTCCGGGCCACGAGAGACAACTTTGAGTAGTGTGGTGTTGACAAGAATCTCTTTCCCAGCTGTTGGAAACCAGCGGTCTGCTGTCCCTGCCCCCTGACGATGGGCTGGATGCTCATGGTCATGCCATCAATACGTAACACATTACCTGTCTCTCACGCGTTACCTGGCTGCACAAGGGACTCCATTACGCATGTGCAAGTTTCCCTTTCAAAGCAAGCACGCCAAGCGCATCCCTCTCTTTCTCCCTCTTTCCCTCTCTTCCGTTCTTCCTCTCTCTCTTCCTCTCTTTTGCTTTCTCTCTCCTGCTTTTGGTTGGCTACCAGACCCCTCCCCCCCTTCTCTCCCCTCCACCAATAAACTCCACGTGGGCGCTGAGTCTCGTGTTTGTGCTTCTTAGGCGAAAAGCAAAACAAAAGAACACCACCAACTATCTTTGTTCTTCCTCGGGGAATTTTTCTCTTTTAAGTTTTTTAAGTTTTGTTTCTTGGGACATGGTTTCTAAATCCATGCTAGCTCTTAACTTACTATGTGACCCGGACTGGCCTCAAAGTCAAGAACAGCTGGTTACAAGCAAAAGTTACCATGCCCAGCTAAACACAAGCTAGGGAGCAGGGACCGGATGGACAGTGCCATACCTGTAGAAATCAATGGCCCTGGAGGTGACCTAGACCCTTCTTCCAGGACATACCTGTAAGAAGAGGAGAACTGCCTTCAAGATTCTTAGCATTTGGGTTGCATCCATTGAGAAGAAGAAAATGGGCATTTTCTAGGAGGCTACAGCTGACAGCCAAAAAAAGTGGTGTTTCACCATTGTGGGTGGTGTGTTCCCACATACGGGGTCTGGAAGCTGAAATAAATTCATACCACACAGGTTAAGATGCAGAAATAAACTTATTTTTCAGCAGCATGAAGGGGAGCGAAAAGGAGTTACCTTTCAGGGTTATTTCTAAGATGTTCTTATTCAACTGCACTGCTGCCTTATGCAGAGGGAGCCAGCCAGCCCCACCGGCTTCATCAAAGGCAGAATGGTACTTGGTTAAGTGTGCCAATGCATCTTCCTTACCTAGTAACAAGGAAAACAAAACAGATTCTCATTTGGCACACATAGGAACCCATGCTTCTTCTGCCATCTACCACCAAAGCTGGTGTGAAAGAGCAGAATCTGAGCACCATCCTCAGTGCCTGGTAGGTTTAAATGTCACAGATGAGCACTGAGGCTTTGCACCCACAGCTCTGTTTACACAGGAACTCTGGCATTCTTTGATGAGTTATGCTGAAGTATTTTCTTCAAGAAAAGGCCACTTCAGACTCTGGGTCCCTCAAATGCCCAGTCTGTAGGAGACCGTTTCCAGGCTTTTGGTGCATGGAAGGATATACTTCCACCACCATATCACCATGCATGGAAGGAGAATAGGAAGAGTACTTACCTGTCTCTATTGCTTCAATTATTTTCTTATGATCAGCACTCAAAACAGAATGGGATCTGCACAGAAAAAATATGTAGTTTTATAAATCTAATGTTTTTGATGGAAGCCCAAAGGGAAAAGACAAAACCAGTTGTAGTTTCTCAGGGATGAACTCCCATATGATGTACTCAATGAGACCTAGTAGAAGTACTTGCCATGAGGGTGGGTGTGCAACTTAGAATGCTTGCCTTGCATGCATAATGTCTTAGGTTTGATCTCCAGTGCACATGCCCATGCATGCACACACTCATGCATGCACACACATGCCTGTGTGCTTGCACATGAGTGCAAGGGTTGAGGAAGAGGGATAGATTCCATTTATAAAATGTAGTAGGTTCCTCAACACATTATAGGAAACTTCCCCTCCAGGTCTGCTATCCCTTATTAGACATAACTTCTTGGAGGCAATGAACAGGCCTACTTGTGAATCTAGACTACAGTTTATGCCTTCAATAAATGTTGCTGAGTTGACTCAAATCTGTCTGAGGTTGAAAAAAATTGATAGTTTCTCTAGCAAAAAATTATTGTTAAAAAATGCACAATCAGGGTGTGAATTCTTCATAGTCACAATTCTTTTTCAGGAAACAGTAACAGTTTAAATTGTACTTTTATGAACATCAAAGACAGTTTATGCTGGAGAGGTTGTGGAGAAAGTGGAACACTCCTGCACTGCTGGTGGGAGTGCAGCCTCAGACAGCCATTTTGGAACTCACAGAGACCCACAACTAAACTGAGTCAAACTCCTGGAATCCAGTTGTAGAGAGGGAGGAGAGATGAGCAAAGGGGTCCAGACCAGGCTGGAGAAACCCACAGAAACTGCTGACCTGAACAAGGGGGAAACTCATGGACCCCAGACTGATAGCTGGGAAACCAGCATAGGACTGACCCAGACCCCCTGAAGGTGGGTGTTAGTTGGGAGTACTAGGCAATCTATGGGGTCTCTGGTAGTGGGTCACTATTTATCCCTAGTATATGAATGGACTTTGGGAGTCCATTCCACATAGCGGGATACTCCCTCAGCCTAGACACATGGGGGAGGGTCTAGGCCCTGCTCCAAATGATATGACAGACTTTGAAGATCCCCATGGAAGGCCTCACCCTCCCTGGGGAGCAGAAAAGGAATGGGATGGGGGTTTGAGGGAGCACAGGGGAGGAGGGGAGGGTGAGGGAACTGGGATTGACATGTAAAACAAGCTTGTTTCAAATTTAAATAAAAAGTCCTACTTTTATGAAAATATCTAAACATTAAAGCATTGGGTATGAATTTTTAAATTTTGAGACAGGATCTCATTATGTAGTCCAGAGCTGCTTCAGATCCCTGCCTTGCTTCTGCCGCTACAGGGATCGTGGGCGAGCACCCTGGACTCAATATATGAAATCTCATATTATTTTCTCTGATTACTCAATAAGTCCAGGTTGGAGAGAATGAATTTTCTTAGATACTCTGTCCTGTTCACAATGTGTCCAATTGATTTTCTTTAACATTTATAACTGTGCTTACAGGGTCAGTGCTGAGTTTGTTTGTGTGTGTTCTGTGAGAAATGGACTTACACAGATCTGGCTTCTCCCAAAGGCTCTAGGTAAGGTTCTGTTTCCTTGTCTTTCCTAACTTCTAGAACCTATAGGTTTGATTTAATCCTCATTTCCATATGAAATTGTAAGGTCATTTGAGGTTAAAGACCATCCTGCTTTACCTGAGCAGATTAATAGATGTTGCCATGCCAAGCCAACTGGGTTTATCACCCCAAAAAAGCAATGGTTTCAACCCCAGGGGCCAATGTTGCTGATCAGAGAGCATACAACTAGCTGTGCGTGAGTGTGAACTGTCCTTACCCAGGGTGCAGGTAATTCTTACACCATTTAGAGACCTAGTGCCAACAAAACTCTAATCCACTCACCCCAGAAAACACTGGTCTCTCCTAAGGTTGCCCTCTTTCCCTGGATCTGAGTGGATAAAAGACTGGATTCCTCACCTGTCTTGCTGGGATAATTTCCTATGCGTCTTGGTTAGATTCATGTGTGCCTTCAATTCCCTAAGGACAACTGTGTTATGTTCTTCTCTGGCCCTTCACAGCCTGCATTCATTTCTTCCTTCTGCTTTCCAATGTGCATCTTCTCACCCAGATTTGTTACCTTCCTACTATCTTTTTACTTATTAAATTCTTAGTTCTTCCTAAGTTTTTTTTTTCCTGTTCATTTGGGCATTATATTCTACACACACTTAAATTACAGTTATTCATTGGGAATGTAGCTTAGTGGTACAATGCATGCTTTGCATCTACATGACCTTGGATTAAATTCCAACCACTACTGAAAAAAATAAAAGACAACTGTGGTTGTTTGAAAGAAAATGACCCTCAAAAGGAGTGGCACTATTAGGAGGTGTGGCTTTGTTGCAGTAGGTGTGCTCTTGTTGGGGGAAGTGTGTCACTGTGGGGGTGGGCTTTTAGGTCTCGTTTCTTAAGCTTCACTAAGTATGTCAGTCACTTGTTGCCTGCAAGATGTAGGACTCTCAGCTGTTCCTCCAGCACCACATCTGCCTTGCAAGCCATGCTCCTTACCCTGACAATAATGGACTGAACCTCTGAAATGGTAAGTGAGCCACCACAATTAAATCTTTCCTTTACAAGAGTTTCCCCATGGTCATGGGGTCTCTTCACAGCAATAAAACCCTAAGCCAACAACTCCCTGTATTCTGACTTTCTGTTTCTGTCACACTAGCATTAAGATCGGGAATAGTCTCAATGACTGAATACTTCTTAACACTCAGTGTCAATGAGAAAGACATTACCTCTTGTCTTCTGATGTGTGTTGACTTATTCCTGGCTTGTAGATATCCAGCAAACTCTGTTGAATGATGAGTTGGGTGTCAAAGTCAGTGTCTGTGTCCTCATCACTGTTAGGGTTATCCATGTGAAGTTTGGATAGGTTCACTTTCAACTCAGAACGAGTTCATATATTTTTCCAATGGTGAAAAAGATTTTCAACTGCTTAAAAATATGGATGATATTTAGAAAGCTAGAAAGTTGATAGGATTGATAAATGAAGAAAATGAAAATTTTGACAATAAAATATTCATTTAAACATTTCCCATGAATTTAAAAGTTTTCTGGATTGCCCTAGATTCAACATTAGAAGTTTTAGTAGGTAGACACTTATTTAAAACTTATTCAAGAAAACCTTCCTTTCATATGAGACATAGGTCATAAATCATTGACAACTTTCTGCCAGAGATTAATATCTAAATTATGTAAAGAACTATAAAAATTAAGTACCTAAACCATCAAATGATCTAGTTAATTAGAGGGCTAATGAACTGCCTCAAGACAGACCTCAAGAAAAAGAATAATTTAAAATGGCCAGTAAACTAGATGACAGTGCTAGAAGGTGCTTGGCAGGCTTCTGGAGGAGAAAAGATATCAATAGCCTTCCCCAGCATTGGAGCATGCACACCACAGTAACAGCAACCTTAGATGCTCCCAGGAATGTGAAAACTAACCACTTTCTGATTGGCCATGATGCCTGCTCCACAGGAGGGAATTCATGTTTGGTACTGTCAACCTGGTCATCTTGCTTGAGATCCAAGGCCATTGGAGGGAACCTGCCATTGCCATTTTACTAAATGGGCATGCTGTCAAACTGCTTTCTAGATATTTATGTTTATAACCATAGATTTATGCTGCTATAATCTTTGCTAGAGAAGCTCCTGTTTGTAATGAATAGTGGTTACTATAGAGACCCACACATGGTTTAAGTGTGGTGCTCAGCTGTGGATGCCTCACATATATCCACACCCGTATCTAAGGCACACTGAGGAAGGAGGGGCAGAAAGGATGTAAGAGCTGGCAGATGGACGGCTGCAAAGTGATGACTTTTAGACACAACACAGCTATTGCACACATTGATGCATAGCAGCTATGGTTATAGCACAGAATCTATACAAAATGAGGCCAGTCTAAGTGCCAGCATAGATGCAGAGCGGCCCTTTGAGGCCTGCATCTTGCTGAGAAACTATTGAGAGTAGATAGCTACTGAGGGAGGGATGGTTGATTTCTTTTAGGGATGTGGCTTCTGGTAGATTGCTCATGCTCCAGGGGATGGCCCTACATCCATGCACATATATAGGGAACACTGACTAGACTCACATGGATTTTTAAAACTCTTTTTAAAACTATTTCTTTATTATGTGAACAGTATCCTGCCTGCATGTATACCTACAGGCCAGAAGAGGGCTCCAGATCTCATTACAGATGGTTGTGAGCCACCATGTGGTTGCTGGGAATTGAACTCAGGACCTCTGGAAGAGCAGCCCTTTGAGCAGCCCCTTAGGTGTTTTCTGGTTTTTTGTTTTTGTTTTTGTTTTGTTTTGTTTTTGAAGACTGGGTTTCTTTGTATTGTTTTGGTGCCTGTCCTGGAACTTGCTCTGTAGACTAGGCTGGCCTCGAACTCACAGAGATCTGCCTGCCTCTGCCTCCTGAGTGCTGGGATTAAAGGCATGCGCCACCAATGCCCAGACATCAGGTGGCTTTTTGATAGCAATGAACTGAAGGGCATGAAACTGGGAGGGGGACAAAAGGGGAGTTCCTAGGAGGAACTGGAGAGAAGTAGTGGTGGACGGATATCAAGATAGCTTGAATAAATGCAAGAATAAAAATACTTCTTACCCAACAAAAACCAACCAAAAAAAAAAAATGGCCAGTAAATATCTAAAGCAGTACCCAACATCAACTTCCTTAGCCATTAGGAAGGCTTTGGAGATGGCTCAGTTCGTACACAACCACGAGGACCTATGTTTGCATCCCACGTATGAAGGCACATGTAGTAGTGCACACTTCTGACCCTGGCACTGAGGGGACAAGGTTAGAGATGGGTAGATCCCTGGACCTTCCTAGTCAGCCAGTTTAGACAATCAGTGAACACAAGGTTTAGTGAAAGGAATGGTGTCAAAAAAATAAGATGGAGTAGAACTCTGTGGTCTCCAAAACACAAGCTATTACCATAATAATTGGTTGTTCTTTGCTACAAAAACCATCTAAGTACCTATATATGTGCTATGCATTGATGTGTGCAACAGCTGTATCCAAAAGTTGCAGCTCTACTCTCCTACTGCCCAAATCAACAAGTAATTCATCCCTGCTGGCTAGCTTTCATAGTCACACTCAAGAACTCACAGCAGCCACGGTTACCTGCAAGAGACCTGCACAAGATCAAATTATCAAATTCTGGCATAGAACAGAGCACCTCTAGTCCTCATCCCTTACTGCAGAACTGTTGTCCCCTGATATTTTCTAGTTTAGTGAAAATCATTTTTTAAAATGATGTGACTACTGATAGGATTTCCATGCTTTGGGGGATGGGCCCACACCTACCCACCCACATATGGAAAGCACTAACTAAACTTAGTGGGTTATAAAAAAAGAAAAAAAAAAAACCCACAAAACCAAATAAGCAAAAGAAGCTGGGAGAAGACATGTTGGGGGAAATGTATGATCATATTTCATTGTGTGTACCTGTGAAATTTCAAGAATAAAGAAATTAAAAATGAGGTGGAAAACACACTACACTACCCTCTGCCCACCCCCCCACACCCTACATGGGAAGGGACACGCTACCCTACCCTCTGCCTCACACACTCACACACACACATACACACACACACACACACACACACACACACACCCTACATGGGAGTAGAAAGGAACCATAAAGGTAATGTTTTAAAGGAGGGGGAGGGGGAAAAAGAGAGTGACAGAAACATATGATATGAAAAAGGGGAACTGTACGGGAAAGGAAGGGACTCAGCAAGAGGGGCAGGGGTGGGCAATATTGGGGGAAGGGAGGGAACTAATAAAGTATAATGACATATGTGTATCAAAAGTTCATAATAAAATGCATTTATACACTAACTTCAAAATTTAAAGCAAAGAAGTAAAACAACGAAAAACAAATAATCAAATGAAACTTTAAAGGCATTTTTGCAATACGGAAAGTGTTTATTATTGACTTATTTTAGACAGGGCATGTAAGTTTTTCTCAATGATTATAGCACTCAAAAGAAGACCTTCCATGTAGTCAGTTAATGTTTTATCTAGTAAAAACCAAAAGTGAGCATGCTTTGGGAATAAATACACCACAAAGAATAGGAATAGCAGTAATTAAATCAGCCACTGTATTAGGCAATATCTAAATGGTTTAAAAAGAACACTACCATTTTAATATAGGACAGGCTCTAAAGACTAATTTTTTACCTTTTAAAATATCCTCTAGAGCTGCTCCGAAGTTTCCATGTTGCAGGTGTCTGGATCTTCACCCCCCCACACACTGGTGACCATTATAAATAGCTTTACTATAAATACTTGGTCATAAGACAGTCTGGCATGTTTTCCTTGTTTTTCACATGTGTGTTTATGCTGTTTGGAAACACAACCTCTTTTCTTCACTGTTGGATTCATAGATTTAAAAGATTTTATCTGATTTGGGAGATATAATGTATTTGCAGAAGACTGGCCATGAAAAAAATTATTTTAAGACTTAGGCACATAGCCACCAGAGACCAGAATTTCTCACTTAAGAGGAGCCAGAAATTTTGCTCTACTGGCATTATCAGAAGTGACTTGACTGGATATCTTAGTAGCACTGGCCTGGAACCCCAGCTACTGTTCAAAGCCTGCTTGGGCTACAGAGTGAGTTCATAGCTAGCCTGGGAAACTTAGTGAGACCTTGTCTCAAAATGAAAAGTAAAAAAGTGGGCTGAAGCTGTAGCTCAGTGGCAGAGTACTTGGCCAGCATGCATGAGATCCATAGTTAAATCCCCAGCATCACCAAAAGGATAACTGTTCCACAGAGCCCCTGTGTGTCTATACCTACATATTCTCTGAGCTGTGGAACTACAGCCTTCAGTACCCTTGGAATACCAAGGAAGGGATTACATTACAGAACTTATTTTTAAATTTGTGCACACATGCATTCGGGCAGAGATCAACCTATTAATCCTCAGAATCCACCCACCTTTTTAAAAGATTTTTATTTTATGTGCATGTGTTTACTTACATGTATGTGTGTTCCTGTGTATGTAGATGCCCTTGGAGGCAGAAGAGGTTGTTGGATCCCCTAGGACTAGAGTTACAGGTAGCTGTGAGCCACCTGATGTGGGCGCTGAGAACCGAACCCACTTCCTCTGCAAGAGCAGTAAACACTCTCAACCACTGAGCCATCTCTCCAGCTACTTTGTTTTTGTTTTTGTGTTTTGAGACAAGGTTTTTCTGTGTAAAATGAATGGGACACTTGATATTTCCAATGAAAAATGAGATGCCAAGAGAGACACGGAAGCTGGCACTGACCACCAGCCGGCTATACCATCTTACCTTCACTTCCTTGTTTGTCACAAGAGTACTCTGAGATTTTGAACTAATTTTTTATAGAAGTATGAGATACAGGTCTTGGCTCTTTGCCTTAATATTTTCCTCACTGTGCATACATAATGGTTTCAGGTAGCTGAGATGTGTATAATGATTGGAACTGAAGAAAGGACAACATTAATTAAAGAAATACTTTCTAATATAAGTTAAGTTATATCCATCTAATTGTCCAAATCTTTATGTGTTTGTATCAAAATTTAAGAAACTAGATAAAATCTGCAGACTTCCATATGCTTCAAAGTAACACTTTGCTTCACATTTTCTCTGAAGGTGTGGAGCTTAACTCAAAGGAATTTGGTTACAAAACTATTCTAATCAAGGGTGGGGCATCAGGCAGAATGGGGCAAAGACTGTTCAAGGAAATACACAACAATACTCAGTTTGGGATTTTTTTAAGTGAAAATTTAAAAAATTATGAGGTGTTTTCTAAATTTGTTCAATTTAGTTATCCAACTGACAAAGCATAGCCACACCACGCTTGATCCAATGTTGAACAGGCTGGTCTGTTTTTAACAACATTGCAATGACAAAGTTGGTAGAATGTCCTGTAGTGGAAAG